GGTGGGAAGGAAGTAGCCTTGGCCAAGGCAGATCTGCTTTAGATCCTGCAACACCTGATCTCCCGGGGTACCCATCCATTGGTCCTGCTAAGCCAGGAGGCCCTTCTATGGCACCCCTAACTTCCCACCATCACACATGAGCTCATCAGCCCCAGACCACCAGGCTCAGCACAATGTGACCTCAGTACTCACTGGCACATGCCAAGTTCCAGAGTGGGTGCCTCTGTGGGTACCTCCGAATGGTAACTGAGGTAGCCTCAAGGTGGCAGGGTGGGAAGGATGCGGGCCAATGGGCAGCCTCCTGTACTAGGCTTCTGGCAACCTGACTGCCCTGTGGAGCACATGGGGAAACTTCATTCCCCTGCCCTGGGTAGTATAGGCAAGGAGAGTATGAGCCTGGAGAAGCTCACGCGCTTGCCTGCTGCTCCATTACCATTTCACTGTAGGCCTAAGAAGAAGCCTCCCTCTCAGTTCCTGTTGAAATTCAAAACAGAAGCAACCCCTCCAGACCTCTGGGAGCAGAGAGTTTCCTGCCTCAACTAACACACAAAGGAGGCTGTGTGCTCCAGCACAGCAGGGCGGGCAGCAGGCCCCAGCAGGACACGCGGGTCATCGCCCCCTGCCTAACTAAATCAATGATCTGAAACGGTGGCGACCTGGATATGGTGTTTCCTACTCAGAGCACAGGATTCTGGGTAGCCGTGCCCTGCTGGTCTCAGCCATTTGTCCTTCTGTTAACGGATAGTGGGGCCAACCTTACTCCTGGGGACCCGGGCAACCCTACCCATAACCCCACAGGTTCTAGACCACCTGGAGGGTCTCATGACTCAGACTGGGGTCAGTGAGTCAGAGCCACGCCCCTTGTAAGCATCCTTAGGTCCTGAGCTTCACAGACTGACAGGTCCTTGGCAAACGGCCCCCTAGAATCAGAACATTGTAAGACACTGTGAGCGGGACCAGATAGGGCCAGCATTTACAAAGTCTAATGGCTTACACAGAGAGCCGGCACCTCGACCGCCGACCGACACGCCGTGGAGCTAACAGTGCTCTAGGGTGCCATCAAATTATGGTGAGTAGGCCACGGCAGGTGGTGGCCCCGTAGAGATTGCTATCTGTCTTTCTTTAACGTCTCTCTCTTGGCTAAGGTGACACTTCGCAGCCTGAAGCTGTTCAGGAAGGAAGGAGGCGGGCTGCTTCCTCTCTTAACCAACCATGCTGTTTAGCTCTTTCCTCAGTCTGTCTGACACAAACTAGGTCATCCAGAAGACACAGCCACAACTGAGAAAAAACGCTTCCATCAGACTGGCCGGGAGGCGAGCCTGTGGGGGAATTTTCCTGATTGATGTGGGGCCCAGCCCACGGTGGGTGGTGCCAACCTGGGCAGGTGGTCCTGGGAGGTGTCAGGAAGCAAGGGAGATCAAGCCACTCCTCCATGGCCCCTGCTTCAGTTCCTGCCTCCAGGTTCCTGCCTCGCTTGAGTTGCTGACCTAACTTCGCTGGATGATGGACTATAAACTGTAAGCTGAAATAAACCCTCTCCTCTGTGAGCGCTTTTGGTCATGCTCTTTATTATGGCAATAGAGAGAAAAACCGTGCACCAACGTAGTATTTTTCATGAGGTGAGAAACCAGCAAATTTCTTTGAAAAATTGAAGACAGAACTACCATGCAGTTCAGCAATTCTATTTCTGGTTTGTCTAGAAATGACGTTCTGTTGAATAGATCTCTGTGCTCACGTGTTTTCTGAGGCACTGGTCACACCGGCTGAGGAACATCCATCACTGGACTACTGAGAAAATACAAAGTGATACAAACATGTGACTGGACACTACTCAGCCCTCAGGAGGAACTAATGCCGCCATTTTTGACAGGGATGGAACTGAATCTTTAAGTGACGAAAGCCAGGCACAGAAAGACAGTCACATGATCTCACTCACACACAGGATCTCACACACTGGCCACAAGGCAGATGAGAACAGGGGGCTCATGATCAAACGGTGGGCTGACAGGGCAGGGAGGAAAGGGCAAAGACTGGAGTTAAGTAACAGACAGGAGCAAGGAATGATGGCCTGTGATTGCACAGTGGGGCGCCTAGAGAGAGCAGGAACCACAGCACTGTTTAAAGAGAGGGAGGGGCTGGAGAGATGACTTAGAGGTTAAGAACACTGGCTGCTCTTCCAGAGGTCCTGAGTTCAATTCCCAGCAACCACATGGTGGCTCACAACCATTTGTAATGAGATCTGGTGCCCTCTTCTGGCCTGCAAGGACACATGTAGGCAGAATACTGTATACATACATAAATAAATAAATCTTTAAAAAAATAGAAATAGGGGCTGGAGAGATGACTTAGAGGTTAAGAACACTGGCTGCTCTTCCAGAGGTCCTGAGTTCGATTCCCAGCACCCACATGGTGGCTCACAACCGTCTGTGATGAGATCTGGCACCCTCTTCTTGTATAGATAATACATAAATTAATTAAAAAAATAAAAATAAAGAGAGGAAGGAATGAACCCAGCGGTGGCAGCGGTGGTGGTGGTGGTGGTGGTGGTGGTGGTGGTGGTGGTGGTGGCACACGCCTTTAATTCCAGCACTCAGAGGCAGAGGCAGGTGGATCTCGGTGAGTTCCAGGACAGCCAGGGCTACACAGAGAAACCCTGTCTTGAGAACCAAAGAAGAAGAAAGAGAGGGGAAAAGAGCCTTAAGAGGCAAACAGATCTCTGTGAGCTTGGGGCCAGCCTGGTCTACAGAGAGAATTCCAGGCCAGCCAGGGCTGCACAGAGAAACCTTGTCCTGGAAAACTGAGGGGAGTGGGATAAATGCTTGAGACAGGTGCAGCAAACGTGACTTGGTACCCACCTGGCAGGTACTGTCTCTATTTTTTGTTTTTTTGAGACAGGGTTTCTCTGTGTAGCTTTGCGCCTTTCCTAGAACTCACTTTGGAGACCAGGCTGGCCTCGAACTCACAGAGATCCACCTGGCTCTGCCTCCCGAGTGCTGGGATTAAAGGCGTGCGCCACCACTGCCTGGCCTATCTCTATGTTTCTATGTACCAGTTATAAAACAGGTTAGGGCTGACAGAACGGCTCAGCGGGTAGAGGCACCTGCTGCCAAGCCTGACAACCCGAGTTCAATTCTGGGGACCTACAAGGTAGAAGGGGAGAACCAACTTCAGCAAGTGACAACTTGACCCCTGACCTCCACAAATGGGTCATGGCATAGATGTCCCCCCCCCACAATAATAATGATAAATAAAAATTAAAAAATAGGTTACAAAGCTACAAAGCATCTGCTTTCTAGCTGGATCTGGCAAGTTCCAGATCCTCCTGTTGTTTTGACTTCTCTTTCTCCCAACACCTGCAGTGAGGATGGTATTTCCCATGACACTTTTTTCCATGTTCTTTCTACCTTCCCTAGTTGGATTAGATTCCCAGTTAATACGCTAGATGACATTATGTTTCTATTGGTAGACCAGGGCTGTGGTTTAATAAGATAACCCCAGTAAAGACAGCTCTCAGCCCAACACACAGTGATGCTCCGAGCTCATGTGCTTTGCAGGTACTTCTGGGTGCTGCTGACCCTGAGATGCCCTGTGCTGCTGCCAAGGACTCAGGGTAATCCTGAACCTCTCTCCCAGCAGGCATCCTGACAGATCCACCCAGGAAGTAATGGATGAAAAGCAGGGCTGTGGGGGTCACCGTCAAAGTGGAGGCTGCTGCTGAGCCCTGGGCTGATGGGAGTAGCTAGGCGCTCAGGTAACTTTGTTACATACTTTGCCAGGTATGTGCTCCCTGCACTCAGGACAGAGCTGAGAGGATTGCCACAAGTTCAAGGCCAGCCAGGTCTATGTAGCATGTTCTGTGTCAGCCTGGACTACAGAGTAAGACTGCCTTTAAAAACAATAATAATAACAAAACCCGAATAGTTGCATACCTTGACCGTGGAAAATCAGATCAGGCCACAGGTTGAGTGGCCACTCCAGCAAGCCTTCTGCTTGTGGGAAAGTATCCTGAATGCTAATGGCTGCTCTGTGCTGTTACTTGGCAATTTCTGTCTCTGAGACACACAGAGCTGCTTCCCCTCGAGTGCACGTGTGTGTGTGTGTGTGTGTGTGTGTGTGTGTGTGTGTGTGTGTGTGTGCATGTACATGTGTGTTGCTTGGGATGGAGCCCAGGGCCTTCCAGAAACAGGTACATGCTCCACCACTGAGCCACACCCCTGGGCCACAGAGTACTTTTAAAAATAATTCAATGACCCCCTCCTTCCAGGCAGGGGTCCTCCTTTCTGCCTGGTTTGTCGAGGGCTGCGGACTATCGGGCAGACTCAGAGACCTGTTTGAAATCACACCAACCTTCCCAGTATAGTTTCTGTGTCCTATGAAGGACACATCTCAAGCCACCAGCCAAAGACAGATTTCGTAATAATTGAAACAACCCAGGAAAAGATAGAATTTGATTCCCACTTCACATCTGTACACAGGATAAACTCCAGCCTGGCACAGATTGTAGCTGCTGCCAGCAGAACTACATAAGCTCAAAAGAAAAGCCAGTGTAAGGAAGAGCTTTCCCACCATGGTTTGAACTCAGCCATGAGAAAGAGTGACGAATCTGATTGAGTTAAAAAACACATGTTGCTGCTGGGTAGTGGTGGCACATTCCTTTAATCCCAGCACATGGGAGGCCGAGGCAGGCAGATCTCTGTGAGTTTCAGGCTAGCCCAGTCTACAAAGTGAGTTCCAGGACATCCAGGACTATTACACAGAGAAACTCTGTCTTGAACACCCCCCTCCAAAAGAATGTATGTCAACAAAAGGTATGTCCAAAGATGGCTAACAACAGAAGGCAGTCAGAGAGACGTGTGTGGCGTCTCCTTAGCATTCACAGATCTCCTCAGAAAGCACTGGAAACACGATTTAAAAAAAAAAAAAAGAGCTGGACAAACAAGTCCCAAAAGAGAATGAACCTTGACCCTTGAAATGTGAACGACATTCAGTGACCAGGGGCGCCACTTCTCCGACGGTGACAGTTTTAACAGGACGGTACACTCTGCTGGCAAAGCCTTGGGAACACAGGTGTCCCTGGCGCTGCATCGGGGGTGCACACCATGGAAAGTGCCATCCTCACGACACACCTTCTGACCTTGTGAGCCTAGGTATCTGCCCGACAGAGGGCTGGGTGGGAAGGGCTAGATGCCTGTGTGAATGCTGTTTGAGTGACAGAGTGCTGCCTCTCACAGGGAGACAGCTGGGAAACTGCACCGTGGAAGACTAGGCCGTTACGGAAACAGAGAGGCTCTTCCTGTCCTGCTGGTGAGGAAGTTCCGGGACATACTGCTAAGTAGACGAGTGGGCTGAAGTGCATGGGGAGTTGTTATATGCTGTCCTTACGTAAGAGTGGAGATATAAGAAAAGCACACACATTTGCTCATTCGTGCAAAAGAAACACAGGAAGGAGCCAGGAGAGGACAATGAGGCATTAACCATAGGAAGTGGGTGGGACAGAGGACTAAGGGCAGATGGCAGGAGGGACCTCTTACTTCACCCAGTGTGTCCACATGGCCAGGCCTGGGACCCAGTTAGTAAAATCAGTCACCGGTCTGGGTGCTGTGGAGGGAATTTGGGGAGTATGCTTGGTGCTCATAATCCAGTGAGCAATCCTGGTGATGTGTGTGGGCCTTACCTGATCCCCGGGAAGAATTCTGAGGCTTGGAGTCCCCATATCTGCAAGGCCTATTGTATACATTCTCAGCCTACTGCCTGCCCTGTGGATTCTGCCAAACTGCAACTGTGTAGGCCAATTCTTTCCTGTGTGTGCATGCGTGCGCACGTGTGTGTGTGTGTGTGTGTGTGTGTGTGTGTGTGTGTGTGCGCGCGCGTGCATGTGTGTGTATATGACACATGTGTATGGGTATCCAAGGAGGCCAGAAAAAGTCAGATCCCCAGAAGCTGGGATTACAGGCAGTTATAAGCTACCCAATGTGGATATTGTAAACCTGACTTGGACCCTCTAAAAGAGCAGCAAGTGCTCTTAACCACTGAGCCATCTCTCCAGCCCCCCAATTCTTTTTTTCTTTTAATTGTTATTATTTTTGTGTTGGTGTCTGTGTATGTCTGAGCAGACAGAGGCCTGAGCAGACAGCTGCCTTCCTCTGTGCTCCCCGCTGTTTCCTTCCAGACAAGGTCTCTCACTGAGCCTGGGTCTCATTGTTTTTCCCAACAGCTAAACCAGCAGCCACTAAGCCCCAGCAACCCTGTCTCTGTTCCCCCATGCTGGGGTTACAAGTGTGTACAGCCATGTGTGGTTTGTGGTTTTTTTTCAGGGAGGTCTAAACTCAGGTCCTTATACATGCACAGCAAGTGTTCCTACCCACTGAGCCATCTTCTCGGCCCCACAAGCCAGTTCGTAAAGTCCCTACAAAAAGGAGCTAACCATGTTTCCTTCTAACCCCATGCAGTCACCCTGGTCCCATCTAATCCAGTGTCTGCGAGTGTACACACATGTATTTGTGTGCACAATATGGGGTTGTGTATGCGTGGACTCTAAAATGCATATCTGGATTCCTAAATTTCGTACCCTGATAGAAGCAATGAGGGTCCCTTGAAGGGATGGCTGATTCCTAGCCTGCGCCTTAAAAGAGAAACCTGGAAAGGCAAGGAAGGGTTCAGACAAGGACCAGTGTTGTCAAAGAGCAAAAGCCAGTCTGAAAGCCCTGCTGTGCAAGAGCCTGCATCAACTCAGGGAGCCCTGGATTAACCCTGCCCACCTGGGAATCCCAGAATGATCTCCCTACATTATAAACATCAGGCTCGTGTCTTCAGCTCTACCTGAAATTTAAGTCCCCCTCACTGTGGAATGCAACAGGCTTCCAGGGCCCAGAGAGGAGGGCAGGGACATGACTAGAGCCATGACTGTGTAGACCGTAGACCTGGATCTGGCAGGCCTGAGATGATCTGTTGGGGTGCTGCTGTGATGGGGACTCTCCCACCTGCACAACCCCAAGGCTCTGACCATGGTCACTTCTCCTTGGCTTGGTGCCAATCATTCCTACTTTCACATGTATGGCCCACGGCCTCTGCTTCTTCAGAACATCCTCGTGCCACGCTGCCCATGTCTCTATCATCCCTGCCAGGCTTCCCCTGGCTGTCAGTCTGCAGGTATGAGCAATCACTGATCTATGTAGGGTAGGCAGCAAGTGCTTTTCCTCAGGGCCCTACTGTGTCTTCCCTAGATCATAATAAATGCAACTTTCATTTAAATACAAACTGCTCAGCCGAGACAGGAAGCCAATTAGACCCAAGAACAGGCTGTTCTGATTTTAACAACCTGTCCTTTCTCCTTTTCCAACTCCTGATTCATTCCTCAGTTTAGAAGAGGAGGCCAGATGTCTCCAAGCCCAGAAGGGCACAGTAAAAGATGATGGATAAAGACCCTGAGTGCTCCACTGAAGCCCATGGGGCTTTCCTGGGGGCCTCTGGACACCTGTGTCTACAGGGACATAGGTCCTGAGCCAAAGGGCCTGAGCTTAGATAGCCCATCTGAGCTGGGGACAACTCTCCATCTTGAGCTTGGACAGAGGAGATGGAGCACTGGTGCATAATTCAAACCTTAGTTTTGCACCATGATTGCAGACATCTCATGCTGGGATGATTGGTTTTAACCATTAACTTGACACAACCTAGAATCACCTGGAAACAGAGTCTTAACGGAAACATTGTCCAGATCAGGTTGGCCCACATGGGGGATGATCTGGATCGTTAATTGATGTAAAAAGACCCAGCCCACTGTGGGTGGCATCATTCCCTAGGCAGGAGGCCCTGAACTGTATAAGAGTGGGGAAATCGAGTTGAGCATGGGCAAGCTAGCCAGTGAGCATGCATGGGCTCAGTTCTCTCTGCTCTGTGGATGGGATATGATTAGGATGGGAAGTTCCCGCCTTAACTTCCTACGGTGATCACTATAGCCTGGAACTGTAAGCCGGATAAACCCCTTCTCCCCTAAGTTGCTTTCTATCAGGTTAATTTTTTTTTTTTTTTTTTTTTTGGTTTTTTCGAGACAGGG